AGTCTATGTTGAGTGAGGCTAACGACCTATACCGACTTTTTACGATACAATATAAGAGATGAAAAAATTAAAAAAAAAACCGAATGCCCATGAGCATCAAAATAAAACTGTGTTGCTTTTATAGTAATTTATTCTAGGTCTACTACTATAATCCAGCGTTCGCCCGAATAATTGCAATTGTTTTCTTAACCTATTCTTTGTAAGACTAGAGTCGTAAATTACAATACCACCGAAAAGAAACCATTTCAAAAAGAATTAATAACGAAACTGTTTTTATTATTGATAACAGGCTGCACCTGTGACCCCAGACAAGTTTCTAAGAAACATAATAATTGTAATTATCTGTTTGATTAAAATCAGTTCAAACAATTAAATATGTGGTCTCACGAACCACGTGACGAACGATATTGTTAATTGTGGCTGCAATCCCAAGAGCTTATGTCATAATTTAATCACGAACTTATCCACCTGTTGGAAAAAAAGATGCTGTGATCAGCGCGTATATAGTCCGAAGAGCTTGAAGATTCGTACGCGGACTACGATAGTTGCTGTACGCGACGAAGAGATCGGGGAGTAGGGGTGGGGATTCTGCCTGTGGGAAGTTGGAAGAGGTTCGTAGTGGATCGTCTGTCTGACTGGATACGGATATAAATCCTTTGTCTGAATACAGACATCGCAGGTCCGGAGCCCTGCATAAACACACTAGTCCTTGACACCGTGATTTTACTTAGGGTTCTCTAGTCTACTTGTGTATGTCTGTACCGCTAGGAAAGTGCACGTTAACAGGTCACTAATCATTGATATTTTAACACACAGGAAAATATGCATTTAAATTGATTTTGCAATACAGAAAAAAAGTAAGAACAGAATACAGAAATAGTTCCTAGTTTATCGCACTTTATGTCGAAACTTTAAGAAACCACTTTCCGTTCGATGACCTGGATGTTATCATAATATTAGATTAAAATATTGTCAACGATTACATTTTAACAGTATTCCGGTGGAATTATATAGGCCCTACAATTATGGGAAAATTTCACTAATCATTGATATTTTAACACACAGGAAAATATGCATTTTGCAATACAGAAAAAAAGTCAGAACAGAATACGGAAATAGTTCCTAGTTTATCGCACTATTATGTCGAAACTTTAAGAAATCACTTTCCGTTCGATGACCTGGATGTTATCATAATATGAGATTAAAATATTGTCAACGATTACATTTAACAGTATTCAGGTGGAATTATATAGGCTCTAAAATTATGGGAAAATTTCGACAGAGTGACTGCAAACAATCACATTCCGATGAATTGAATCATAGTAACAACAGTTTATGGCCTCATGCCTATGACAACGTAGACCAGCTAACTTGGCACTGGTCATATTAGCAAGGGGATTACAGGGATGGGAGTGGGGAATACTTCTCCCGCACTTTGCATTAATGTATAGAATACAGAGCAATTTCATATCTCATAATTTTTAAATTAGGTTGTTTTAGTACTTTTATAGTTTTCATTATGCCTACTGTAGACTAGGCCTTTTAAAGACACCCCCACCCCATTAAGGTGACACTTTTTTGACTGAAAAGGAAAAAATACATATTTTATGACCAATCTCTATTCAGGTACTGTACACCATTACGAAGGCGAAACAATTTTTTCTCCGAAATATTAGGAATTATCAATGTTATATTTATATCATCATCATCATCACCATCATAATCATCATCACATCATCCGATCATTATCATCATCACCACCATCATCATCATCGTCATCATCATTATCATCATCATTTTTGTTTTATTTCATTAATATTGTTTATGTTATCATGTTATGTTATTCCCAAAGTACTTTCTCGTTCCTATTTCATTACTGTTATTTCGAGTGTTATGTTAGGACTTCTCATCAATAATTATTAAATATTGTTGAATATGCAAAAATAAAGCCAACAATGAATTAATTAAAGGTGGAGTTTTATTCACTATCACCTTGGCCTGTAATGTATTGTAAATTTCTTGGAAATATGAAATTATTGTGTTAATAATATTACTTTTTTTCAATAATATAATACAGTACATTAAATATTAACTTTGGTACCATGATCCACGTTGTCAATCCCCGTTTCTATCGCCATGTTATTCCCATATAAGACCAGGTTTCACTGATAACCACACCTATCCAATTGAAATAATGCTTTGTTTTATTATAAAGGTATACTTTCCATCCAGGAACAAATACCTTTTATCTTTAACAATGTAATATCGTTGTCATCTAAATCGGGTCTTTTACAGATATTGTTTTGAACCAAAACAATGAATACTAATGAAGAATGCATTTACCGACTTCAAACGACAATTACGAATGAATTAATACCACTTGAACTATTAATCATCTAATACATCGTTATGTTGTTCGTTGAAATTCAAAATTCATTAGTATTTTTTTTAACTTTTAGAACAGAAAACAATAGCGTTTAATTGCAAACATTAACGACTTATGAATAAGCCAATTCACATAATATGTTGAGATTACAATACATGCAGGCATATTGAACGAGGTTGCTTGCTTGTCGGTACATTATTGCTATTAAGTTCTCTGTCTTTTTAGTGCGTCCTCTTTAATTTCTGTTATTGAATAAGGTGTGTCGATTAATAGCACTTTCCGCACCCCAGGTTAATTAGGCCTACTAATATGTAGGCGTCGAAAGCTAGAAAATAATTTGATAACTACATGTACTTTTTAAAAAAATAAGAACCAGCAAAATTTATCCCAGGCTCGGTGTTCCTATTTTTTGGCCAATTTCAGACTCAAAATATTCTTATTTCGTTCTTATTTTACACACTTATCAAATATAAAAAGTTCATAACCTGCTGTACTACACATAAGGTTTTTTATTTATTTATTTTTAAACAAAATCCTCATTTGACATTAATATTACCTCAGCCTCAATATTATTTTTTCTTATCTTTTATGCAATTTCAGCCTTAGCGTTATTAAGTGTGTTCATATATAGGCCTATATATAGGCATATATATATATAATATATATATATATATGATATATATATATATATATATGATATATTTATATATATATATAAATATAATGATATATAGTATACTCTTATACACATCT